ATTTAAATACTTATTTAAATATTTTAAATAGCACATATCTACAGTATGTGCTCTGTGTTCATTTTGGGTAATGATAATGGCTTATAATGTATTTTATTTTGATGGAATCATTTGAATATAGGTGTACAGTATAGCCTATAATTTGTCCAGTCTAAAATCCAGTTGAATATGGGTTAGCTTCTTCATTCAGTTTCTTCACTTATTCTATAAGAAGGACCAGACATACCTGCGGCAGACTAGAACTTACCTGAGCTGTCCTCACAGCTGCTTCTGATTTGAAGCACGAGGTCCAAGTTCAGGAAAGATTGTGATGTCTAATCTGTCAAATAGAATTGCTAGATTAAGCAGGTGTCAACTGTCTGATCAGATGGTAGAGTGAAGGCAGAGGTCAGACTGTTCTGGGAGATGTACACTAATAGGACTCGAAGCAATGGGCACAAGTTGGATCATGGGGAATTTCAACCAGGTACAACGATTTTTCTTTTTTTTTTTTTTTTTTTTTTTTTTTGTTTTTTTTTTTTTTTTTTTTTTGTGTCTTCTCCTTCCTGTCCTAAGGGTGGTCAAATACTGGAAAATGTTGCCTGGAAGGTTGTAGAAGTTGTAGAATCGCTATCCTTGTCAGTCTTAAAGACTGGATAAGGCTTTGGGCAACCAGATCTAATGAGACCTGCTCTGAGCAGGGATGGGGTTACATGACCTCCATAAGTCCTTTCCAGCCTCAGATACTGTATATAAAACTGATACAATATGATTCTTTATATAAAACTGATACAATTCACATTCATAAGAATAAAAGCTGGGCTTGTGACACAGCTATCAGATACGTGTACAGACCCTTTTCATGTCCGAAATGACCCTTCCCCAGTGAGGAGGTGCTCAGTCTCCATGTTCGTCTGAAATCTTTGATGGTAAATGGTGAGGCAGAAGTCCTGGTTGGGTTTCTGATTTTTACTGAGGTTTCATAGATAGCACTGTAACAGAAGAATAAAATGCAGCTCAAGTGAGAGTCCTACACTGCTCTTTATTGTCCTGGATAATTCTTTTGTGGGTTTGTTTTTCAGTTTACTTTTGAATGGAATGAAGACTGTAGCACAACTTTGGAACTTTTAATAGGATTTGTTATCTTACTTTTTTGCTTGAAATATAAAAATGAAAAAAAAAATCACTTTTTTCTGGCTATAAATTTACAATCATCTCATCGACTTCAACAGCAATTTTCCTTGGCTAATGACTAGAGGACTGGCAGTAGCAAACTTTTTTTAAAACTCAAACTTTGTCCACAGTAAAGATCTTTTCCTCCTTCTCTTTATCTCCCCTATTCCCCTCTTTTTCTGTACATAAAAGCAATTAAATATTCTTGGATCGAGTGACTCCTAAGAGAAGGTGTTTGCAATCTAGGAACAGTGGTCTGTAACTCTTTCCATTGTATTGTCTGTATTTTAACATTATGATGAATTTGGTTCTAAATCATCATAGCGTTTCAAGTTAAAACAAATGTAAAAGGAAAACAGCATCATGACAGCTCGAGGGATTTTTATTTTTTTTTAATCTTTTTTTCCTCTTCAGGGTTTCTCCAAAGATATTAAAGTACCAAAAGCAAAATATGTTGGCTACATCAAAGATTATGAGGGTGCCACATTAATGGGATGTGAATTAAATCCGAGGATCCCCTACACGGAATTTTCTGTCATCATTAAAAAGCAAAAAGAGGTAAAGGCTGAAATGAGACACTGAACATTATAATCTATTTAGATGTTTAGAAACAATTCAGTCAGTGCCAGGTTAGCTTTTTTGCTTTGGTGCTTAAAACATTGGAATGTATACTTTTATTAGTTAGAATAAATCTTTCATTCAAGTCTCAGTGCAGTAATTTTGCAGAAGCAATAAATTCTACCTTACTAACTTTACCACAATAGAAATGTTGAAAAGTACTGATGTTTTGAGGAGTATTTCATAGCTAAATTCTGTCATAGGTAACTTAGCCAAATGTTATGAGATTGAGTCGTTCTTCAGCTTTGGCAATTGTTTTTCTTCCTCCCTCCTCCTGTGACCGTAACGTTCATTAGAGGGTCTTTTGAATACTTGTGGTGTTCGTAGTGTTCTAAGATACAAATCAAGGGTGACCTGTCTTAAATTGCAGGCTGTCCCTCTTTGGAATTTATATGAGAGATTCTTTATTTAGTCCATAGTAAAATTCCAGTTTATTATCAAAATAACTAAGATGTTACCAGTTGTGTTTAAATACCTTCCTTTTAAAGGGTTTTTAAAGAGATACAAATTACAAAGATAATTTGTTATTTCAGGGTTGGTTAAATCTCATTACTTCTATTTTATTAAAATGCTTCTTTATTGAACAGTCATTTTCCTTCCAATAAAACTATTTGGCCCATGCTTGCAGAAAGAAAGACAATATCTGAGTGCTGTACTGTTAGTTTACAAGGTTTCTTAACTTCTCTCACTGGGGAAGTTTTTAATATGTCCATACAACATAGACCATAATTTTTCCCTTTTATATCTGCTTGTTTGGGTTACTCTGCTTGATTGGCCACTAAGACCATGTCACTCAGTACTGGGTACTGGTCACAGGACACCATTTGTGAGTTAGTACTGCCTAATTTGTAGTTTATTTGCAGTCATTCTGAAAAAGATGAAAAATCCTTTTATGCAAAGCTGTGACCTGCTGACTTGAGAGTAATCAGTGTTGAACAGCTTGTTTTAACTGGGAAGATCCACTAGTTCCTAAATTATATGTAGGGCTTAAGGTGTGTTTAACAATCAGTTTGAAAGTATTTTGATGTTACACTGGAGTATGGCCACAGTGGTTTTGTATGCTGTATTTCTTTTAACATTTTTAACCTCTATTGAAAGTCTGGTTTTTTTGCGTTTCCTCCTCTTTGAGAGAAAATGCTATGTGTGGAGGGGTGAAGGTCCTTAAGAATAAAAATATGCCCAATATGTCCATTATTTCCAAGGAAAATGGTGTCTCTAACTGTGGTGGTCTGAATGACTGCACATTTTTTTACTCCTGGTTATGAAATAAGTCGTTTTGAAAGTGACATATTCAGGACACACAAAGCTTAGGTAATCGTCTAAGTGCATATCAAGAGCACCACAGCAACTTACTTAGAATTGAGGTAATGAGATTGCAAAGTAGAACAGAGTGTACCCCAGAATTGGAAAAGCTTTTCCTGGCATTTACAAGCAGAGCAGAATTTCAATTCCGAAGAGTGGCATCATTCTGACTTCTTTGAGAGAAAATCTTCAGTAAGAGTATCTCTGATTGGTATTGAAGAAATTCCTACAGTTATATAGAGACCTTGAAGTGAACAGGTATTTCTAAAATTTTGGAGCAGGAACATATTATGTGCATTGAAACATGTGCCTTGAAATTTCCGACCAGCTGCGCAAAGCAGTTCAGAAGCACGGGCTGTTAGAATTAGAGCCAGTTCCCAAACCTGCTCCCAGGAAATCTCCTTCCCTACCTCTGCTGCCACCTTCCCAGGAGCTGTGCAGCTTGTGATCAATGCAGCAAGCAATTACTCCTTTTTTCCGGATCTGTCCCTGAATAGGCAGCTGAGAGACTTGATAGGCTCATCTACACTCAGTGTTCGGCCAGGTAGCTCACCCTTGTTACCAGCCTCAGTGTGTCTATAAGGACCATAAAACTAGGGAAGTGAGAGTGTTTCTGTTCATCACAGCTTCTCGTTAGTCCTGTGGGTTAGTTTTGAGCGATGCAGTTATATTCTGTTTTCTCTGCTGCTTTATTACAGATCATTAAAAAGCTCATAGAAAGGAAACAAGCTCAGATACGAAAAGTTTATCCTGGCCTTTCCTGCTTCAAAGATGGAGTACGGCAGATTCCTATAGAAAGCATTCCTGGAATTAGTATGTATCAATCTCTTTTAATGTAGAACAGAAGCAGAATAGCCCAAGAAAGGTCCTAGACTAGAAATAATAATGTAGTCACGGAATTCTTTTTGATTAAAATGTAATTATTTTGGTCTGCTGATTTGATTTCTCTGGAGATTGTTCTGTTTCCATTACAATTGCTGTCTTTGATATTTCCTCTGGGCATCCCAGGTGGATCCTCTTCTATGTAGATGTGTGTAATTTTATATATATGTGATTAGTCTTTGATTTATATCACAGTGTAGTCAGCAGTTTTCCTCTGGCACCACTGTTGTGCACTACACTCCTGTACAAGGATGAGTTTTATACTAAACATGGACTTACAGGACAAAACAGAATTAAAACATTTAAGTATCATCTTTTGGGGGATTTTTCTCAACTGTGCTTTTCTGCAGTTTATTCTCTGTCACTAGGGAGTCAAATCGGATAACTTTGACATTGCTAATCTTTACTGAGTTTGTGGTAAAATATGTATTGAGTTATTGGAAAAAATACATGTTTTAAGTAGGAATATTTTAGAATCTTTCCAGCAGTCTGGAGGAAGAGGAAATTGAATGGGGCTGCAGGCTAGATGGTTGTGTTATTATTAGGAGTAGCTTTTATTAAAACAAACCTATTTTACTGCAGCAGTGCTGAAATGGCTTATCTTTTTAGAGTTGGCAATAACTCAGTTAATATTTTGACCTACTGTAGTTCCCATGTAATGTCTCATGTTGTTGGTGTACAGGAGAGACTGGCTGGAAACCAAGTGGAAAAGAGAGAGGGTAAGTGCTGCACAAAGTAAAATGATGAAACAGTTTGGAGATTCTTTTGAAAAACATGTTTAAGAAATGTCAATCGACATTTCCTTTGATCCGTTGGAAAACAGATAAATAATCTGCATGGGATGAGTTTTTAAGTGGTTTGTTTTGTTTTGTTTGGAGTTGCTTTTAGGTAAGATGGACATCATAGGAATGAAGATAAGGGATCCAAACTAATTTTTTTGTATTCATATTTTCTTTCAAGTAAGGAGCCCAAGGATCCAGATCAACTTTACAGCACATTAAAAACCATCCTGCAGCAGGTGAAGGTGAGTGCTAGTTCTAGTTTACCTTCTGCAAAGATTTTTATATTATTTCCAATATAGAGTTTCCATATTAGATACCTTACTTTTTTCTTTACCAAAGAGCCACCAAAGCGCTTGGCCCTTCATGGAACCTGTGAAGAGAACAGAAGCTCCTGGATATTATGAAGTTATAAGGTTTCCCATGGGTAATGACATTAACATTTTTTAAGTATAGAGTTTAAAAATCTTTATAGCTGGAGACATAGCAGATAAAATGTAATCTGATTGTTTTATGTTAAGAGATATATATTACTTGCAGCTGAATAGCTTTCAGCTCTGAAGTGCCAAGAGTACAGTGCTGTGGATTGAAATTTATGACTGCTTTGTGACCTTTGTGGAGCTATATATATAGCGTATAGATGCGAAATCTTAGTATGCCCCAGAGAGCTTTTAAGCAGTGCAGTCAGCTAGAAACTTTTGGGACTGAGCTAGTTTATGTGAGTTGTACAAATATGTTCTTGTGTGTGGTAACTGGTCATTGCAGATCCTGCTTGTATGTTGAAGGCAAACTTTCAGAAACACCTGAGCATTTGAATTGCTTCCAAATACAGATTTAAGCTTTCTAAATCACATAGAGAAAACCTGTTCAGAAGTAGTAGGATTTTCTTACTAAGTCTTAACAGTTTGCTCCAATTTAAGTTCAGGAAAATGCTTCGTGCAGCCGATTGTAAGATAACTTTTACATTTGTATTTTAGATCTGCCAAAGTTGCACAAGGTGGTTTGTCTACTTACTTACTGTTATTTTTAAATCATGCAGCTGTTGTTTATACAGGATTACTTGCAAAGGGAAGTACACAACTGCTAATGACATTTTTCTTCTCTTTTGATTGCTGGGTCGTATAATTTCAGTGATGATTCTGTGCTGTTTTAAACAGATGCTTCGTTTGATTTGTTTTGCAGCAGATTTAAAATTGAATCCTGTTACTCTTTCATTGTTTACGTAGTACTCACCTCCATCTTGCTGATTAGGATTTCTGTACCTTTTAATGTTATTAGAGAATGAAATACAAGTTCATTGCAGGCTACTATCAGTCAGTTTCTTAGAGAATGAAAGTGTTTGTTCATGTTGCTTTGTTCCTACTCTGTGTTTACCAATTTGGCTTAATGATTTTTTTTTGTTTTATATTCAACTTATCCTTTCCAAATAGCAAATATACGTGTACTTTATAGAACAGCAGCTGGCTTCCTGTATCCCTGACACAAATGTATCTTCTAGCAATGAAAAAAAGAATACTGACACCCTCCCATGGCAGTGTTTTCTCCGTCTCCTTTTCTGAGCAGAAGCTAGGTCTAGATGGCTCTTTAATCTGAACAGTGGTTACAAAGAACTTTCTGCCTGGATTGGCAAACCCTAAATAGTAATGTTTCCTGTCCTTTCCTAGTTCAGATGTATTACACTGGAGATGTGGGCAGCAGCTCTCATTTTAGGACTAAGTGGAGGCCATTGGCTTAGTTTTTGCTTTGTTTTTTTCAGCTAAGGAACCCAGCACAACTAAACCACTTCTTGATTCATGGTCACCTTCTGCTTTCTGTCTGCTCTGACTGCGAGCATGCTGATTCTGCACAAAAATTGTTCAGACATGATTTCAATTAAGAAGAAACATCATTGTCTTGTCTTATGCTATCACATGCAAGATACATTTGTCTTTATGTTTGCATATAGCCTAATTGTACAATACTTGAGGGGTATGGCTATAGGGTTTTTTGACTACCTTCTATGGTCAGTTCTCATGTATAAATACTTCCCCCCCCCTGTTTTAAGTGCTCTTTCAGCTGCTTATTTTCAAAAAATACTGTTTCGGTGTTTTAGGGTTGATTATTTTTAACACCCTTCCACACACCCCCCACCCCCCGCCCCAATACAAAAGCTGTATGCCTGAGTGACAGATGGAGCCAAACTATCACTGTAGTTACAGAAGAATTTAACTGACCAGCCAGGCAATGTTTGCTTTAGGGTGAGCTGAACAGCCTTCTCACTTAGGTACTATAATTAGACTATGGATATCTAGTTTACATGTAGGCATCTGAATTTCAGACTTAATGGGAACCGAATGAGCCTTTGCTTTGGTAAAATACTGTGCAACACCGGTGAATGGCAAGTTATGTATCACTGGAAGAGGTATTTGAGAGCATCCATCAAACTGTTCTTAAACCACTCTTGTCAGTTTGACAGGGTTTTTCTCTATTCTGCCAAAGTCAAATCTCCCTTAACAAAACCAAACCAAACAAAAAAAAATACCTGCAAACCAAAACAAAACCACCCACAATCAGATTTTTAAATCTTAATTTTAAGACATAATTCCTTGTGTTGGAGGTCTTTGGTGTCTGCTTTCCTTGCAATACTTGTTGTTAGTAAGTTGTCTTCATTTCAGCTGTTTCTGTTACAGCTTCACAAAGGTGCTGCTGAAGCCTGGCTCAAGCATTGCAAAAAAATAGTTAGAGCATCAGAGGTGAGAAAAGCCAAGGCATCCAGCACACCTCCCACCCTCCCACTACTTCTATTCCTGTACTCTCGCCTAGAACACTGTGATGTTGACAAAACTTTTAAATGACTGATAAGAGTTACTAGGAAAGCAACTGTGTGGAGAACACTGAGGTGCTTTGTGTCTTTTCTGGATGACTGATTTTAGTATAAAGGAAAACATTTCTTAAAGAATGTTCTGTTAGTTAAAAGTTTTGTACGATGCTTTGTGTTGAAAGCAGGAGGGATCTTTCTTATGTGACTCTGAACAAGAGATACATAACTAAACTTTGCAGATGTAACTAAAATATATCTAGAGCATGGGACAAATTTTTATTCATAGCTGCAAGTACTGCTTGTAGTACGACAGATGTCTCATCTCTGCTGTGTTCACACAGAAGTGAGCGGTTTACGTTAACATACGTGTTTTGTGATGTTCGAATGCTTTGCTTATATACTCTTAAGGCCTCCTCCAGCAAAGCTGACAACAGCTTTGCCTCACAGAGCAGTTAGAGGAGACTTAATACCCACTAAAAACTTAAAGACATAAACCATGATGCTTTAATCTTTTAAAGAAATAAACTCTACACAAAATCATTCTGACAGTGAAATGATGCTTAGTTCCAGGGGCTCAGCTGCTGTTGAAGCTAAAAAAAGGACTGCGCCTTAGATGAGGGCAATTAGGAATTCCAAATCCTAGCTTTGCCAGTTCATGTTAAACAGCAAAGCAGTCTAAAGGGATATTGCATACAAAAAGTATTTGAGTCATATGCTGTTAATCTATTTTTCTTCTGTACAGATCTCAAAACAATGAGTGAGCGACTCAAGAATAGGTACTACGTGTCTAAGAAATTATTCATGGCTGACTTGCAGCGAGTCTTTACAAATTGCAGAGAGTACAACCCCCCCGAGAGTGAATACTACAAATGTGCCAATATACTGGAGAAATTCTTCTACACAAAAATTAAAGAAGCTGGATTAATTGACAAGTGACATTGTCTTTTCTACAACCACATAGCGTGCCTACTTTATGGGCAGGGGAAGCCGTTCTGTATCTGAGTTGTGGGACTCAAAAGGTTTCAAGAAACTTCTGTTTAATACTTAGCACTTTTAAAAACCCTCTTAGTTTTGCAAACATGTATTATACCGAAGTTACAAAAATTATTTTATTAAAATGCTTTATAATGTATTTAATTACAGAAAATTTCTTTTGTGTGCCGATTACCGTATGTTCGTAATAAGTTTATCAGTGACAGCCTCAGAAACCCCACAAAACATGTGGGAAATTGCACATGTTTGGGAATACGAAGAAAATTCCCAAACAACAGATGTTATAGCTTACCTAATGCAGTACCTGTTTGATAAAGTTTTATTATTTTTTTTTGTTCAGTAAAAAAAGAAAATAGTAAGGGAAAACAACAATTTGGGGGGTTCTGAAACACTTGTTTCTTTATAGAATCTTTTTATAAGATATTATTTTTTAAAAGAAACACTCAGCTGGTTGAGAAGCTGTGAGAGAAGAGCAGCCAGTTCTGGAAAAGGACTGCCTGTAAGCTTTGATAGATGCAAGTTTTTCTATTAATTTGGGATTTTGATAAATATTTTACCTGTAAGTTGTAATCTCATAACCACTATTAAAAACAAGAAAATTCTGGCTAGGTGTGTAATGTCATAGTGACTTGGCTTATGCAGGACATAAGTATCCAAAAGAACTTCAGAGAATCAGATTCGCATATACTAATCAATGTCAGTTGGCTTAGTGGAGTTAAGGTTTTGCTGCAGTTCATGACCCACACTATTTACTACTCTTCACTGATAAATTCTTTAGGTTATTCAGCAGAGATAAGACTATTAAAAGAAGTCAACATATGACAGCTTCTAGCTCATATACTTGGTTCTGTGGTAAACTGGATTTTCTACCAAGCTTTATTGTAAATGCTTATTAAATGTGATTATTTAGACCCAGGACATATTAACATTTTACAACTCATGTTAGTATATCTTCAAAATAAGCACTTACATATCTATTTTGCTGCTTACACTACATTTAAGAGGTACACCTAACTTCCTAATGGAGAACAGTACAGGCCAAAAAGTTGTCACTTGACGTTTTCTAATTAGAGTTTGTAACTGTAAATTATAACTGCTTTTGTGAAAAACAGATTCAACTTTTGTTCTTGCTGTTTTATATTTACAGATGTTACACTGGTAAAATTCAATAGTGATAAAAGACTGAATAAAACCCAGTCCTATGCTGTGACAAAGAATAGATTCCTGCAAAATGCCTGTGCAATGTTAAATCACAACTTGATCCTGCAAGTAGATGTCAGGAACTACCTGGAAGTAGTAAATGTGGTACACAAGGTATTCAAAATGTTAACGCTAGACTTACCTTAGTGTTTTGTATGAGATTAGTCTGACCTGCATTTGGATCTATAACAAAGGTACAGTGAGCATTGTTTTTCTTTTAATAGCCAGTACTGGATGCTGTAATCCTGTTTTGTAGATTGGGCCTACAGATGCACCTGTTAAGCTTGGTATCCTGTGAACTTTTGTTATTTTCGGAGTAGAATTTCTTATCGTCTTTCAATCAGATTGTCTCTTCTATATTGAAACATTTGTTTTCTAATTTAAGAATTAATATTTTCATAGATACTGTGCAATAAAGTTACATTAGGATATGTGGTTTTGCAAATGCTTTAACAGCTGACGAACTTTACATTTGTAAAATTAATATATTGTACTGGTACAGAATAGTTTTAAATTATATATGTACAAAACCCTACTTATTTTGGTCTCTCTTCATTACTTAGTTCTTGCATTACAAGTATACACACTGAAGCAATTTCACAACTGAGCACGGTGAACATACGTCTGTGCAGTCAGTGCATCTTCCAGCTGCAAGAGAAAACTCTTGAGAGCCTCAGAGTTCAGTGGGAGCATGGTGTGTTAGGCACAGCTGAGAATTCAGCATGGAAAGCTGACCATTCCAGGTAGCATTCCCATCTCTGCACTGAGCTATGGTGCTGTTACTTCCATCTGCTCAAGATCTCAAACAATTCTTTGAGATGTTCAAAAAGACTTGCTTTTTCACCCCAAATCATACTCATGCTGTTTTCTTATATTTGTATACTAGAGTCCTTTATTCACAAGACAGTGTGCAGAGGAGCACGCTGCAGGATATGAGAAGCTTGTACATACCTACTTTCACCATGTTACTCTGATTGCACACCTTCTTTTGCATATTCTAAACAAACCTGCACCTGTCCAATACCTAAAAGCCAATTAGAGAGTATGCAGATTTATTTTTCCCCCTCAGTCGCTAGGATTTAGTCCTGTGCCACATCATGTAAAAGTGTGTGCTGGTCAGGGGGTAGCAAGTAGTGGTCTGAAGAGACTTAGACATTCTACTGGACACTAAGTATATCAGTTATGCCTATTCAGGACTTCTTCCTGGAGTTGCAATGGAACCACAGCAATTCTTCAGGCTTACTTGATCCAAAAACTCCCCAAGCCAGACCCACCTCACCATCAGCCTGGGGCTTCTCTATCACCTTGTTCTTTTTTGTCCCTTTTAAACAGCTGTTACAGATTCATTTGCTGAAAGTAGGGAGCACCTGCAGTTAAATGACTCTGCCCAAGATGCTATAGTACTAAAGAGTATGGTAACACCCAGAGCTAGGATTTTAGGATACAGATGGAAGGTTAAGTTTCAGTTCCAACATCTGAAGACTGGTATCGTGAACAAGTATTTTCAAACACTCAGTAGCTGCAGCTTTTATTATGAAGGCCCATAAAAACAATTTACTTTACACTCAACCAAAGCAGAGCACTCCTCACCGACCCTCACAGATAACCAGATAGGAACAGTTAGTAACTCTCCTAAACAGCAGTACCAACCAGCCTGTTACCTGTGAGAGCTCCAGCTATGTAATCAGATTCCAACTGACAAAGCTTATGCCACATAAGATGGGGAAGGAGCACACTAGCATGCAGCATGCCTATGGCTGGCATTGCTATTTGGTGTTTAAAAATAACTTTCCCCCAATTTTTAGATTAAAAAAAAAAAAAAAAAACACCCCCCAGCCATATCCGATGTGTTTCCAATGACCAAGACATTTATTAGAAGCTTCAATATGAAACTACAACCATTACAACTACCTACAAGAAGAGTTGTACAAACATTGTTATTAAAAAAAAAAAAAAATAAAAATAATCCAAACCACCATTTGATCTGAAGTGCCCAAACAAGCAGGGTATAAGTTACAAAATTATAACATACATTATAAATTTACATTACAAATGCCTCCTCTCAAAACGGTTTGGATGGAATCACCTTAGTTATAAGAGTAGCCTTGTGTCTTCTAAATCAATTAGAAAGTCACTGGATTGAAACCAGCCCCCCTGAATTTTATATCCTTAGCATTAAGACAAATAGAAACAAAGGCAAATTTGTGCAAGATGTCATGCAATGATAATTTCCTGGATGAAAGATTTCCTTTCTTCATGGAGCCAGCATGGTGTTGCTATCATAACTGGAAATGTCAACGACAGCCAACAAATTTCTCATTGTATTTCGACAGAGACTTTTTTATAAGAGAATGGCATTTGGCCCTTTTTTTCTGCTTGAAAATTGGAGAATTCAGGAAATTTGTGTCTGTGAATGGATCCCCTCTTCTGAGTTTCCTAAAAAAAGACAAAATCGAGTTTTGCTCCAAAGATCACTTAACACACACAAACTATTTCATATTACTAACATCAGACCTCTCTTTGAATGTTTTCTTAAGATCTTCTAATATTTAAACTACACCCTCAAATCCTTCATTTGATGGAATATTATGAGCTTTACATAAAACTGGAAAGTAAAACACCTACCCTGTAATACTTGGTTCTTTATAGCACACAGTAATAGTACAGCTTCGCTTGCGTTTTGGAGATCGTGGTCCTTCACCTTCTGGGACAACAGTTGCATTCCCAGTGCTGGGGAGCAGTGATGTGGTATTGGTAACATCACAAAGTTGACCATGAGATGGCTCAAAAGGCAGCCCTGGGAAGAAATTAGGCACACTTAACACAATTTGGGCAAGCTAGCTTAAGAGAGAACATCAATGAACACACTAGATGTGAAATAACTTTCAGCTGTAACTATTATCTTCACTTTGTACTTAAGAATACATAAGAGGATCAACAAATTCAGGATTTCAGTTTGGAAAAATAAGTTAACACTAAGCAGTGCCAAGGAAAGTGTGATTTGTTGTTCCACTTCTCTCAATTTATACTTTGTTCTCCTCTTTTATCCTCAGCTTTAGTACATCATTAAGTACATCTAAAATACAGTATTGATTTATTGTTTAATACTAATCTGCTGAAGGGAAAAAAGCAGAATAATTAATCTAATGATTTCTATAATGAATCTGTTTGTATTTCTTTTAAAAGAAGAGAAAAAACTAAAATAAAGCCTAAGTCCCTTAAAGAATATTATCTCTCAAGAAAACAAAACCAATTACAGAACACTTTCTATACTTACTAATAGACTTGTCACTTGATTTATTGCTTTCAGTCTCTTTTTCATTACGGAGTTTCTGCTCACACTGTGCCAAACATCTTTTAGACCTTGGCCTTGCATGGACTGGTGATGTATCTATCTTGTCCACTGAACTTTTCCTTTTTTTCGATTTACTCTTGTAAGGCTTATAGAGGCTGTCATCTGAATCTTCTTCAGTATCACTTGACTCGATGGTAGTGGTTTCAGATAAGTCATTTTTGTCATCCACACCAGTATCTGTGTCATTTGCTTTATTTTGTCGAAAAGGTGTAAGATGGACACTCTCTTCAAAATGAAAGTCATAAGCATCACTGAAGCCACCCAAGAAATCCATCTTTTTCTTGGAAGCCTCTTTACCCTGTTTTTGTTTTGGTGTTTGTCTGGAAGTATTTTTAGGCTTTTCCAATTTTGCCTTCCGATACTTCTCTTTCCTTACTCGAGAGTCTTCTCTGGTTTTACACTCACGTCGTTTAAGATCAGAATTATTGTTTAAGTGGGACTGTGCAGTTTCAGAATCTGTCCTCCTCAACACCAGCTCTGAACCTACCTCGTTTTCATTCAACTGGGAAATACCTAAATTTCTGTTTTCTACAGTACATGTCTCTAGACTTTCCTCAAGTCTAACTTCATTTAGTTCAGAAAGCTTTTTTGTTGAAGCAGGTGCTTCTGAATGGTCCAGTACACCAGTATAATGTTCATTGTGATTTCTCAACTTCACATAGCAATTCCTAACAGACACATTTTTTGGTAAGACATTACCAAATCCATCCTCTCTGCTTGAAGAAACATTTTGCAGCTCTGACCCTATGATGTCCAGATGAAAATCAGACGTCCGTCCTTGCAATTAAAGAGAGTCATATTAAAGCTGAATAATAACAACCTGTTAAGGTTTTGTGCATGTTCTGAACCCATCAGAAATTGAGACTATTCTTAGAATTTTCCCCATAGACATGTATGAACCAGTATTTGGCAATTGAGATAAGTTCTGTTTAATACAGCTTCCAGACAGGAAGCTATAAGATAAGTATACTACATTAGGATTTTCCTCTAAACTGTTGCATTTGGAAAGGTTATCTATAGGTCATTTATTTTTCTGAGTTTTTTTGCTTTGTTAACAATTGTTGATTTCATAAATGGTACGTGACTAAAGATTACTCCGTTGAACTGTTTGGTAGATAATGAAACTATATTGCAGGTATATAGAAGACAAGACATTTTCAATCCCCAACCCTCTCATTTTGCTAAGCATCTTCATTCAGAAAGTTTAGCAGTTGTCAATATTCATACCTAATCTTTATGATAATAAGTGGAAAATTACTTGACAGTTACTTCAAAAGCAGTAATTACATTTTAAACTTACACATTCCCCTCCCCACCCCCCCCGCTTCAGAATAGAGCAGTGTCTGGTACTTTGATATAGTTACCTTTGTCTGGAACCATTTTGTTTGAGGAAACAGCATTGTCAGATTCCTCACAGGTCTCTGACACAGAGTGAGTGAGCTCATTTCTATTGCTGTCAGGCTCCATCCCACTTGGAAGTACTTGATCATGCCCATCAGCACACTGTAGATGCTCTCTAGAGAAAATACCAAAAGGTAGTATTTACCGAATATCAAGGTATTTTATCACAACTACTTCATTGCATTGGATTTCTTCCCTTTTTTCCAGTCAGAAAATTAAGCTTACTGTAACAGAATGTTGAAATATAAATAGGTATTAATACAAGATACTTACATTGAATGTATTGGTCCTACAACACTGGAACTGTTCTCAAGAACTGAAGAAAACATTCTTGTATTCTGTCAACAAAATAAATCTTAAGATGACTAAAGAGCTAAAAAAAGCTTGCATGATACACAAGTTTTAGTCAACAGCCAAGTTACCCACAGAAGGGCCAAAGAAGCCCTTATCTGTTTCTCTTTCTGGCTGCATAAACACAAAGTACTGTGGGGTCTCATGCTCAGCTCCTGCAAGTCTACACATTCATCACCAGCCTAATCATACAGACAGTGGACAGAGGAAGGAACTGTGAGGGTAGTACAGGGAACAAGACAAACACATAGAAAACCAGGGTGCTCCTACTACGTTGTAGCAGGGCCTCAGTCCCACTAACAATCTACTACATACTCCCATGTTGCAGACCGCATGTCTTACTGGGAACTGTGGGAGCAATCGCACCTCCAAACTAAGGCTTAAGTCTCAAAAACTGTGAGCATCTATGTCGGAAGTAGTAAGGGGGAAGAATTAATAGAAATCCTGCCCCTCAAGAGCAGCAGGTACTTACTACACCTATGGAACACAGATTCTTTGCTGGGCCAAGGAGATCAATTGAGTCCAGTAAATTCTGAGAAACTCTTGAAATTATCTTATTCAAGGCTTGCAGTTGATTCTAACAGACAAAAGAAGGAAAATAACACTGTTACTGTCATACTCCAGTATCAACTACCAATGTAAGAACTTCTTATCAGCATTATGAGATGACTAAATCCTGAAGATACCTGTGTCAGGTACTTCCAACTGTGATTAAAACCCCTCAAATTCTACAGAAGATAGATTTTAATTAAAGTAGTAAGAGTAGCCAGGGCAAAAAAAAAAAAAAAGAGAAAAATAATGGTTAGTGGCCAGATTAGGTGAAAATATGAAAACTTGTTCGAGAGAGTTACTTTTTACGAAAACTTAAGATCATAAATGCATCAATGGATTAGTGCAGATTTTGATGTTCAGCTTCACTAAATCATGAAATTATTACTAAAAAATACCTCAGCAAGTCCTTGTGCTTGCTTGAACTGAAGATTTCTTTGCAATTTAAACATCTGAACCTTCAGATCTTGATAATCTTTCTTTAAATGAAGGATGGTAGCCTGGGCATCCCTCAGTTTCAGCTTTTCTTCTTGCAAAGCCTGAGCTAGAGCTTTGTTGTTTGCTTCAAGGCTCTTTATTTTCTTGGAGCTGTTGGCTACAACAGAACAGTGAGTATTTCAACATGGTCTAAAAAAAAAATAATAATTGTGAAAGCTGTTGAGACATTAAGCATCTTACTTGCTATTTTGCCCTTTACAGTGCAGATTTGGCTAATTTTATCCAACCTCATCCATTTCTGATTTCTCCTCTCTTTCATTCGTTCTTTTATATCCTCCAAAGTGTCTTTGACGGGCTTTTTCAAGTATTCAGCCATCTTCTACCTTTAGAAATACAAAGGGTGAAGAACTCATAAAGCTAGTGCTGCTCAACATTCCCTGACGCCAAAAGAAAAGGAACAGAAAAACAAGAGTAAAGCTCATAGAATGGTTTGGGTTAGAACTGACTTCAAGATCACCCAGTTCCAACCCCCTGCCACGGGCAGGGAC